ATGCTTACTAATAAAAAAACTTGTAGCCAAGTGGCTCTAACAGATTTAGTTTATGGGTATCATAGTGAAAAGAGTTGTATGCAAAGGAAAGCCAAACTTTAAACAGTAATTTCAGTCCACTTTGCTTTACTTATGGTAGTCTATTGAATAAAAACCAACCAATGATAAAAGCTTAAGAAGTTGGAATACCATAGCATGGCCCACATTGTTCCACTTATTCATTTAAACAACATAAATTAACTTACACTTGAAAAGTCAAACAGGGAGATCCCAAACCCTCATTTGCATGTGTTTTTATTCTTCAAGTTGCTCATGTTCACTTTGAGTTCCGTTTGCGGGCAGGTGGTGCGAGCTGATTAAAACTAATCTCAGTCATCTAATTCAAGCACCTGACCTGCGAAAAACCCTGTAGGGGGAAAGAAAGAAAGAAATTAAGAGAAGGAGGGATGGTTGCTGTGAAGGGAGGAACAAGAGCGAGGTGATTTATGAGTTAACTTGTCAGCTAAGGATAACAAATGGAGAAACTCTTAACTGTACTTCCATAAAACCCCTACAAGCAGTATGCCTCAAATGTGTGCAGCTTTCCCATAACATAAAACTGTATTTAAAGATGGGGCATCATCTATTGGTGTGAGTGTGCCATCAGTGAGGAGGAAGGATCCAGGGGGCGTTCGTTGTGGTTTTGCAGCAGACAACTGATGCAAGGAACCGCGGTGACAACCTGATGATATGTACATGGCTACCCGTCAGAGCTTGCTTTTCTTTGTTAGGTTTTAAATCACATTGATTGGCAGCCAAGACGAGTGTGCGGTTGCAGAGTTATTTAAAGCGGCTCTCGGATATGAATATGCATGTACACCTCTGTTAGCGTGCGGCGAAATGTGTCGACTGGTTCTGGTGCATGGAAGTGATCCCAACATTTCCAGCTGTGCAAGAACGCGGGGGTTTGTGTAGGCCATGAGTGTGCAAAATTATTTTCAGGTTACGAGCAGTTAGTGAGTCCTGAAGACATGGGATCAATTTGTGTGTTTTAGTCCATCTCATATTACTGACATAATACTGATTTTGGGCTAAGGAGATACGTGCATGTGTGACAACGTGTTCCGGAGATATTGAAAACTGCGAATGAATTTAAATCAATGAGCTTGCAGAGTAACCTTTTGTATATCCAATCTGCATCTTTCCAACGCTCGTTATTAAATTATCGTCTAATTGGTCACGCAACAAAGGCAGCTGATGAAAAAGACAATTTCTTGCTTTTAATTGGGCATTTCACGTGTGCTTCGTGTACACCTGTGTGCAGCTGAGTCGGCTCAGTGTGTCTGTGCATTTGAGTGGGAGTGTGTAATGAGAATGGGGACATTAGCAAGGGCTTGGCAGACGCCGTCACAATCAGTTCCACTCTTCCCAATGAAGGAGGGAGAAAGGTTGGAGAATGAATCCATACATCTAGGAGAAGCATACAGTGCCTTGCAAGAATCTTCATAACCCTTGAACTTCCTCATATTTTGCTGCACCCTAAACACACATTTCAAAGGTTTTAACACAGACTAGAGCATCATTTTGTTGTGAATTGATATATGATTTGTTTTCAATGTTTTAAATCAACCCCTGTACTTTGATACGTACCTATAAAAAACCATCTGATTAAAAAAAAAGCCAGGGAGGGAACAAGAAAGGTGTTCTTGAAAAAAAAAAAAAGAGATCAAGATGTCAAAACGGCATAGCACAATGCAATGAACACTGTGTGGGAAGCTTCATGCATTTCTTTCAGTGACAAAGTCAAAGTTAAGATATTGGAAATGAATTTTAAAAAATAACTTTTTCACAAACTATCAGTCTCTAAATGTATGTATGACATTGATAAAACCATACCCCCAAAGGATGAATATTTTCTTTGTATCATTAATAAAGGGGAAATTCTCAATAGCCATGAATACGTTTGCAAGCGTTTCTATATAACAGTTAAAAAAAGTTTCCCTAGAAGATTTTAGCAGCTCCAGCTGTGGCATCACCATGTAGTTGGCATGCCATGTATTCATATGTGTGTTAAACATCTGAGCCCTTGGTTAAAAAAACCAACTCCTTACCTTGGACAGTGTTTGTGCTGTCCCTGCACTTTACAAGATTTCTTCCCAATTCCATGTTTTTAATGCATTTCTTACTCAACTTTATGCGTACCACCAGCGGCGTGTCACTCTAAAATAGCCCGGCTATTGTTGCCTCTTAGCCGGGCTGGATAGTGAAGCTCATTGTGTTGTGATGGCAGGCTGGGGAATGAGCAGGCCATAAACACCGGCCCTATAGCACCCGGGGGTCGCCCAAAGGTGAAGCCTCGCTCTGGTTTTCTTTCTCTCCTTCGCTCCTCATCACTCTTTATCTCTCTTTTTTTTCTTTGCTTTCCTCTCCACCTCCCTCTCTTACAGTCTTTCTCTGTGTCAGCTTATTAACGGTCACAGCAAGAGTGTCTGGTTTGCAGAGCAGAGCCCCCTTTTTTTTTCGGACTCTCTCACTCTTCCTTACTTGCTATTCTCTTGCTCTCCATCTCTCCATTCCCTTGGCTGCTATTATGAGAGGCATTTTATCCTTTGTTCCAGGCCCCATGGTGCATCTGGCCGCAGATATGGGGACGACAGGGACAGGAAACCGGCATGAGTTTTTGAAAGGAGGAGGAGGGAGTTTGGTGGGTCAGACTGTAGATTCGTTGCTGAGGGAGTTGGGCTGCTGCTTTTCACTATAAAGGGAATGATAAGTAAGAGCCAGCTGGAAAACGAAACGGATACAGATAGGCAGAGTGCAGCTTGTTTAGTTGAAGGATTAACCAGATAAAATGTTTAATTCCTAAAACCGACATCAAGTTTTAAGTCGCGTGTCCCACCCCTTGTGAAGTCTGTTTCTCCTCTGTGATGGAATGGACGAACGAAACGAGAAACAAAAGGAAGAGCAAGAAAGAGGAAGAACAGATGCAAGGACATATGAGGGAGTGTCAAGAAGGAGAGGTCAACCCTTAGCCAATGCTGGCCCCAAGATGACCTCGTCCCTTCTGCGAAGGGTTTGGAGAGCAGAGGAGAGGAAAGTTAAAGGAATGCTCGGGCCTCCTCAACCCTCTTTGCCCTCACTCCTTTGCTCCTCCTCCTCCTCCTTCCAGATCTCCACAGCAAAAACAGGGTAACAGGGGGAGGAAGGGAGGGAGAGAGAGCATTGGTGATAAAACTCCAGACGTTCTCTCATTTGATGGGGCTCTGCCATGTCAATGCATTCTTAAATTCCTCCCTCGCTTTTTAGATTTTTTTTCTCTCCTCCTTTGAAATTCCAAATCAGCTTTCTTTACGTTACATATATAAAAGACAAAATTATAAAAAAATAGAAAAAAACTTGCAGTGATCTGGCTTTACTGGCTTTTTTTTTGCCTTTTGCCTTAAGTAATTCTGAAGCAGCTTAAAAGACATAATATATCATTTATAAAGATGATACCAGCTAACAATAAAGGCTGTTATATATTTTATTTTACTTGCCAGCTTTGCCATTCTGTCTCCCTAATTCCCTAGAGGTCTTTCTTTAAACCATAAAACCAAAGAAGAACACAAAAGCACTTGATGAGGGAATATTAAAGACATTTAAAGGAAAGCGGTTCTCTTTGCCCTTCAGGGTCAAAACAGATGCAGCATGTTTGTATCCTTTTGTCTCTTTCCTCCCCTTCACGCCATCCTCTGTGCTCATAAACGTTCCATTTCCCAGATTTTTAAAAAGTTTCCCTCTACTATTGTTCCCCCTTCAGTCCGGTTAATGCTCCCCCATTTCAAAGATGAAACAGAAGTGTCCGGTCAGGCAACAGCAGGAACACATAAATCAAGTCAGAGGCCCCCCGAGAGTCCTCTCTCCTTGGGGTCATTACAGGCTAAGGGGTCATTTCAAAAAGGGGCTAGGCCGACCGAGGCCAGATAGGTTCCTATGTGAGCATGCACAATTAATAGGTGTGAATGCATGTAGGAGAGAGAGGGTTGGAAGGTCATGTTTGAATATAAGAAGTAAAAACATTGCCCCAATAAGGGTAGAGATTAGAGAGGGACCTCTTCTGATTGACCTCTAATATGTCTTAGTCGTTATGGACACCAAAGTCCAGTACTGTTACAATGGAGGAAGCTTTTCAAGGCTACTGTAAAAGCCTAGGTACCTACTGGCACTGGTCAACTTAGTGGTGATATTAGTGTAAGGAGCAGATGGAGTAACAAAAATAACCTAAAATTAGAACCATGTCCTAATAAGGATAGAGATGCGGAATTGTGAGCGTGTGTGTCTGTGCTCAATAAAAGGTTTAACGGTGCACTTTTATAGGAGGTCATAGAAAGGTTAGTCCACAAAAAAGGCACACATTAAAAACAGTAACACATGGTCACCTGTCATAGCATAAAAACAATGCCTCTCACCAGTGGCAACGCGGCATGTTTCCCTGTCAGCAACACCCCGCCATGCTTGAAGCCGGGGCGTTAAACCGTCAGCAGTCTCAGCTCTTCAGGAGGCAGAACACCTTCAATAAAGAGAGATGGGCCGCAATGTTTTTAGACAGCCTGAGAGACGATTCTGTTTTAGCGTCGCCTCCACAAACAGCCCAGTGTTCTGGCTGACTCTTTTTTTTCTCTTCCAGCAAGTTTGCACAAGTACTGGAGTTCTGACTTTTCAAAGACAACAATTTTAATAACTGAGGCAGTTAAGATGTGACTTTTGCTTTAGCGCTGCAGTGGGTTTACTGGGGCTCAGCAAAGCTTATAGGAGCAATGGGAATAATTACTCGTTATCACTGTTATGGTTTGCAAAGGGAAAGAGGCGACTTTGGAAATTTGATGGTTTTTGTGTCGGCTGCCAAAATCTTCAGGGTATTAGTCAGCATTTTTTCTTAATCTTATTTTGAGTACAGCTCTGACTGTGTTTCTATGTTTTTGTCTCCTTTTCTATCCTCCTCCCCTTTACAATCCTCCTCTCTGTCTCTCCTTGCTCTGCAGGTTCATTAATGCGCGGAGGAGAATAGTGCAGCCCATGATCGACCAGTCAAACCGTGCAGGCAAGTCTCCCATACTTACTGTTTTCAAGTCGCGCAGGCTTAAGCCAACCCAAGTCCATGCACCCAGAGGCCTCTCAGTGGGTAAATACAGGACTGATGCTCCCTTCTTGGAATGTCCAAATCCTTCAGGGAATTTCCCCTCCTTCTCAGTACTGACCAATAAAGTTAAGAGGCAAAATATTTCAACATTAACAGCAACCATTAATCAGAATTGACTTGCTATGTGGAGTGAAAAAATAAATTATGCACCTCTTACTTTGTACCTTACTTCGTACCCGCATGATGCCATTTCAGCATATCCTACTTCTTCCATTGTGCCCTTATGCAAACATATATCTACCTACTGTGGATACATATCAGTTTACTATTTTTTTTTTCGAGTATTTTAGTTAATTAAAAAGATACATATGAAATGCTCAAATATCAAATATTAATATTATTTAGATGTCATATTTTATTTCAGCTGATTGTTTTCATTAAATTTGGGCACAAAATGGCACAAAAAGTCTCCAAACCAATCACAAATTGATAAATGGTCAGTAAAAACCATCTCAAAGATTGGTACCAATTAAAGCAGACTCAGTACAATAACTCCTTTGCAGACAACTTGGGTTGCAAAGGTAAGAAAAGGCCAACTTTCCAACACTTGAAGTAATGAGATAGCTTTTTGTCTAGATATCCTGCCTACAGAGCTAGCTATGTTTTCAGAATAGTTTGTTCCTAAAACAACTTCCTTCAGTTTTTTCACCAAATACATATATTAAAAAAAAAACAATTATGCTTTCTCCCTGGCTTAAACTATAACCCAGAGAGACCTCCGTCTGTTTCTTTTTTGGGTTGACCGCTGATTGGCTTTTTTGGCTCCTTTGCCTCTGAACCTGTTTTACCCCCAACCCTTCCCCCCGTTCCCTTAAACACCCTTCCTTGACCCTATTTGTGGCTGTTTTAGGGAGCGATGGGAATGAGCGAGCAGTCCCCCTGGTGCATGGCTTGGTTTTGGACTGCTGTAAACTTTATTACCTGTTATAGGGGTGAGAGGTCACAGTGGCATTAAGGGGGGAGGGAAGGGGGAGGGTAGTAAAGTTCAAAGGCATTCAGTGAGGCCGAGGTCCTGCTTTTGCATGACTGGCCGCCAAACGGCCTAAATCGAAGGTAAGTGGCTTTCTATGAGAGCAGAACAATGGAGGGGAGCAGAAAATAAGGAACTGTATCAGGTTTCACATATTCTTGCTGCTCCACTTTAGTCAGTATTTATAAGATAAAGTATTAAGATAGGAGCAGATTCTGGGACCAATCAGTGAGAATGAACTTTTGTTGAAAACCGGATCGGGGCTCAACCTGGATCTCATTTTGCTCCTTTGATCGTATGTGTAATTATGCGTTGGGGGCAGCAACATTTAACGTTAAAAGCATTGCTGGATGATGTGCCAACATGTCTTTTATTAAATATTTATTTGAGTGGCTGGGCATGTCAAGATAGTCAATCAAGAATTATGGAGCTGAAATGTTTTGGATTTACAAAAACGTGCATTCTTGATTTTATTATTACCTGTGTGCAGATTATAGAATCAAATCTCGATTAAATGAGAAGGAACTTTACATTTTAATCTGGACATGGGGGAAGGACCTTCTTTAGCCACAGTAGAAACAGATCTGACATTTACAAGCCTTCAAAAAGTATTTGAAATTATTAAACTTTTTCCATATTTTCTCCTGTCGTTAGCTTTAAATTGAATTTAAATCAACCCTTTTGGCATACCAGCAAAAAAAGGCATTTCCTGTAGAGGAAGCCACTTGGTATCAGTCTGATTGGATGATCTCCATAGTGAACTATGGTGGCGGCAGAGCTGTGTCGTGGGTATGCTTTACTTCGGGGAAGCTGAATTGAGACTCGTTGGGAGGAATGAAAGTGCTTTACACATGAGATAAAAAATCATCCTTTATCTATCAATTTATGAACTACTTGTATTGGTCAGACACATTAACAACTAAATAAATTCACTGAAGTTAGCGGCGGGGACTCTGTTGTCAGACCTTCTGGTGGCACAAAAGAATCCAACAGACTTTACATTTAGATGAAACTCTGCATAATCATGAAAATACAATTTAAACTATCCAATCGTAACCCTGAAGCCAAGGACAGTCCATGTCCTAAATGCACCATAGTTTAGATTAAACTCTTAGTCTGATCCCTATTAGAGCATTCAGCTGCGTTAAAGTCTGCCAGGGGCTTACAGTAGCTAGCCATAACAGCATGGAGCAGAGTGACGTTGAAAGACAGCAGCGTTGTCCTGTGAGTGCACCAGCCAACAGATGATCCCACTCCGTCCACTGAGCTTTAATTAAAAGGACTAATTGACCACTCTGCTCCCTCCCACCAATCCCTCCACCCCTCCCTCCTCTTCTTCTCCTGCATCCACAGTAAGTCAAGGAGCTCCCTACAATCCAGATGGCCAGCCAATGGGTGGCTTCGTCATGGACGGCCAGCAGCACATGGGAATCAGACCACCTGGTATGGCTTTCTCTGCGTGTCTGTCCTTTTCTGTTCTCTGTTGTTCTTGCTATCTTCCTTCAGTCTGGTCCTGTGGTTCTTTTGGCTCGTTTCCATCCACTTCTCTTCCCGAATCGAGTCCTCTTCCACCTTTTTGTCCTCCTTTTGCATTTCTTCAGATGTAGAAATGTTTTACAACCAATATCTGCCGAAGCGATCTTTTATTTCATCTCCATGCTGACAGAGAAGCTCTTATTTAAACCTTTACGACTGCAGCATGCTGCAGGATGTGCACTTCCAAACACACTAAGAAAGATATGCGAACACAGTTTCCTCCCCCTTCTTTCTTGGATACACCAGAACAGGTGTGCTCAATCACATTACACCACCATCCTCCTCCTCCTGCTCACTCCTACTCCCCTTGAAACTCAGTCCCTCTCTCACGCCATCAGCTTTAATCCTAGAGTTTGTCCTTAAGCTCTTCTTCTCCTCCTCTATCCCCTGTTTTTTTGGGATTCTCTGTCAAGTCTCAAACCCAATCTCAGCCTCCACTCGAAGTCAGCAGGTTTAGATAAACTACAGGGCGACTTAGCCACCCTGCACCCCACCTCAAAACACTTCCACACACTGCTCCTAGTCGAATCCACAGGGCTTTGTTTCTATGCTGTCTGTCAAATTAGCTTCATAGTGAAAGAGCACCTACTAAGCACAGTCTTGTGTGAATTAATTCCTGGTTGTAGTAATCGATAATGAGCTTCTACACACTTTTCTAGAGACTGTAAACCTTTTGCTAATTTTTACGTTTCTTTGTTGTGTTCCCGCAGGGCCAATGGGTGGAATGGGCATGAACATGGGCATGGAAGGTCAGTGGCACTACATGTAGCCCTTCCCGAGTCTGACCAATCACAACACAATGGGGGATGTAAGTAGACTGATAAGGAAAATTTACATACATATATCCTTTTAATGTTATATTTTCCCCCACTTAATAAAGGTCATATTTTCAATGATTATTATCAAGGCTATTCTGCTAATGAAAGCTAAAATTATTTAGATTTTTATCATAAAAGATACTTTAAGTCTTTACTTGAGTTCCAATAGTCATATATTTACTGTGAGATGTATTTGGAAAGGTGACCTCACACTTTGTTTTTTTTTTGTGTGTGTGTTTGAGAGAGGACAGTAAAACATTTGTGAAGAAGCTATTTAATAATAGTTTAAAACTAAGACTATAAGGTTCAAATTCTGTATTTTATTAGTTAGCGCAGCCAGTTATTTTGTGTTAATCCAGGAAAATGTAGAAATTTGCTTTAATTTCTAGATTTCCAGAGGTTGCCAAAAATGTCTGAAGGCCAAAATAAACTGAAGATATCTTACACAAAATATTAATTCCCTTTTAAACAGCTTCTTAGATCTGTGTATCCTCAGCCTTAATCTCTAGACGCCTCGCTGATACAGAAAGTAGTGTTCAGAATGCTGTTTTTTTAAACATTTTCAAATTCAAACATAAAGTAAATGTAGTTGATTTTCTGCATGTCTGAATAGCTTTTAGATACAAACAGGCTCTTGTTCTTCACCCAGCAGATTTCCACTCTTCTCCTTCTTTCCCACCCTCGGTGTGGCGATAAGAGCCTTTGATCACATCCCTGTAACTCCTTGAGTATACTGTGTCGCTGTTGTTCTCACACTTCCAAAAGCTACAAATCAAACATTTCTTCTGCAAATGTGGATGGGGAGAAGTAAAGTAAGAAAAACAGAGAAAAACCACAAAGGCCTAAAAATTATAATAATAGGAGTTACTGTTAGAAAATGTTACAAAATGTATAAGTTTTGAGGGAAATTTTCTTTTGTAAAGTGATTCATGATTGAATATTTATTAAGATGTGGGGGGAAGAAAGAGGAAACTGGCAGAGAAGGAAAGAAGGCGGGGATGGATTGGGACAGGAGATGGGTGGGGGGGACCTTCTGGGTTGGGAGGGGGCAGGTAGAAGGTTGCTATGGCAACAGACTGATTGGCAAAAATGTAAGCAGTCGTTGTTGGTGCAAGGAGAGCGAGAGAAGTGAGCGCCCCTTAAGTGTCATAAATCTGCCAGGTTGCTGTTGATGCATGAGCCACATTAATACACACATACTAACCAGCTACAGGGGTGCCCCTCCTAAACCCACCACCTCCTTCCCTCCATGTCTTCCTCATACTCGCTCCGACATTGTGGTTTTTCTCACTGTCAATTTTCCTCTCTCCATCTCTTTCACACAACACCTTTTTTCTAGTTTCTTTTTTTTCCCTCTTCCTTCTCACTTCTCCCCCTCCTCTCTCTTATCCCTTCCCTCACTCTTGCCCCAGGGCAAAACAGACTCCCACATAATTCTGGATGTATACAGGCTGGCTGGTGTCACAGAGCACATTGTGTTTTAAAGCGGCGCTGGGTCCAATCTCAGCCGAACACATCATTGTTTTCATTGTGCGTGTGTGCCACCTTGGCTGAATGTAAAGCGCACAACGTTCATAAGTGAAATACATGCTGATGTGTGGGTGTTAGCCTATGTAACTCCATGCTGGGCTGTATAACTGTATATATGCATGTGCATATGTGTGTGTGTATGCTAATAGGATTACTCCTGGCACAGAGAAGGGACACAAACTACTGCAAAATGGAGGAGGTAGCCAGCAGGGTATGGAGCTTAGCTGGGCCTAATTGACTAGATCCAAATTAAATATGCCGTCACCAGAGGTGTGACCAATGGATTTGACTTATTCAGTTTACAAAAATAGGGACCATTAACCCACTGTGCAATGCGCGTGCACTGTAGCGAAAATATTCCCCCCTTGTTTTCGCCTCCAATGTCGCCGGCGACAACAAAAGGCCAGAAATCTCAAACGGAACCGCATCTTTCAGGTTCAGGATTCAGGAAGAGGAAGCAGAAGGAAGAGCTCAACGTGTGTGTTTGCGTTTGTGTTGCTGTGCAAAGTGTGTAAACACCAGGGTTTGTTCGGCGCGTCCGGGCAGCCTCTTTCCAGCAGCTGCTAGCCTTCCCAGCAGACCTCGCTTTAAACAGCCTCAATTTGCCTGCTGAATCCCGTAATTGGGCCACCAGAGGAATCCTCGGTGAGACGGGGCTGAGGCGCGGAAAAGACGGGAAGAGTGAGGAGGGGAAGGGAAAAAAAAAAATAAAGGACAGAGACAGAGAGGTAGAGGAAAGAAAGAAGGAGGGAGGGGCGGATGAAGAGATGGGCGAGTGAGAAAGGGGGAAGAAGAGTAAATGATAAAAGGGAGGGTGGAGAGGGAGTAAAAGGAAGGAGGCGGGACGAGGAGAGAAGCTGAGAGACTGATGATGACAGGAAAATGTCTCTTCTTCACAAACTAGTGTTTCCCTTACAGCTTCATCAGCTCAGCTCGTCTCTATCGAGTTTTCCTCCTTTCCTTTCTAGGTCATTTAAAAGTAAGCGATGTGTTATATTCTTTCATGACCAATTAAATTAATAGGTTATTACGTGAGGGAGGAGTGGGGACAGTTATCTTATTTGATTAAGAGAGCACAGGTTCATTATATTTTATAAGCAATTTTCATTAGCAGCGTTGAGATTTTCTTACTGCAGGGGCTAAATTGAGCGGTTATTGTGCCGAGCCTCGTTACAGAAGGTGTGCCTGGCAGTCACACAGCAACATTAGTTAAAACTAAAGCCAATTAGTCCTGCTTAGTGGAGAGCGTTATGCTTTCCACCCAGTGATGATTACGGAGCTTATATCCCCTTGCGAAACAATACACCTGTCAGCAGAGATGAAGCCCAGCAAGTGAAGCAGAAGCGAGCCGAGCCTTTGATTGTGACGGGAATGACTCTCGGATGACCCTTACCCCCATTTCCCTTTTTTTTTCCTCCTCCTTTCTTCCTCTCTCTCTGCTTTCCCTCTTCCCCAAAATTAGCCATGTGCTGCCCCTGCTAACTGTAATTTCAGGTTTCAGGAGAATTATCACAGAGTGGAAGAATTAATTATGACGCAGAGAGTATGGAATTTGTTACTTGGTTTTGCCCATTAGGAGCTTTTCCCCAAATCAAGAACGCTTGAATGAACGGATGCTTTCTCCGCCAGTCTCGGCTGGAGACCCTTTGTCCCAGAATTCATTGCTGAAATCATTAAGCGCAAATTTGTTAACCTTCTGCATAGGGGGTCAAGATCCCTTCCCTCAACTCCAACTTCCACAAACCCTCCCACTATTACCCCCGCCTCTTCAAATTCTCTGTTTTCCTGTCGGGGAAACTTTACTATTAAGGGACACTGGGTAGAAAAGAGAGAGCAAAACAAAAACACAAAAAGAAAAACAGGTCCCCATGGGGATTGTGTGGCCCCTTGTATTGTCCATGTGAATGTGTGTCCCTGTTGATTTGGCCCCTGTGGAATCCGCCTCGGAGTCGAGGAAATGAGACTTACAGCTCGATGTATTGATTTGCTTATTAGGTGAAAAACCCCATAAGCAATGTTGAGCTCCTTCAAGCACTCATAGCATTATTGGCCTTTTGACACGAGTTTACCGCAGTAATCAGTGCAGCCTTGTTAACCTGCAGGAAAGTCACACGACTCAGCGACAGATGAATGAACTGTTGATGCTCTGCTTATTTGGACACTTATTTAGGAACACAAAAGGAACGTATGATTTCTCAGGCAAGTTCTGTTAAAGTTCTCTTTAGGTTATAAGGAAATTTGACATGCTGCTATTTTTGCTGCTTAGAAAATCCTGCTTGTATGTTTAGTTCCAAACATGTGGAACTTAACATACAAGCAGTGGAAAAAATGTTTTGCTCCCTATAGTGCAAAAGTTGCCTCTAGAATTCAGTTAATTTCTAAATGAACACAGAAAACACAAAAAGACACTGCACATGTACCTCAGCATACCATCACTATAAGAGGAGAGAAGATTTACTTCAGCAGGATCAGCGAATCTGATCAATGATGATGGGATGATAGAACTGATTATTGGCAGACAGTAACAATAAAACCCTGACCACAGCGTGCTGTTGATAGACTTTACTGGGTAAGATACAAGTATATATATATATATGTGTGTGTTTTAGAATGGCCTAGTTAAACTAAAAATAGAGAATGTATCATGAATCTGAAAAAAATCCTGTTTATCCAGAGTCGTAATCCAGTCTGACTGATCTAGAGCTATTTTGCTAAAGAAAAAAAAAAGAAGAAAAAAAAAAGAAATTCTCAGCCTTTTCATATAAGCTGGATAAACGAAAAGGCATTCATCTGTGATCGTTTCAAGTCATTGTGAATCGTTGGAGTTCATATAGCGGTATTATAGTCAATGAAACCGAATCCAAATGCGAAGCACAATTTTCAAATTGTTTGTGGAAAAAAAGTTGTTATTCCATGTAAAAATAAACCCCTAAATTGTAGCATAACATTGAAAATATCACAGGTTTGTTGCCTTTAACATTGATAATAACACAATAAACCTGTTTAACAACAGCTATCACAATAGTTCACACCAGTCTTAAACAAACTACACTTTTCCTCCTTTGTAGCTTTGTTAAAACTGATGGATGAGGGGAAGCGGGAAGCTATTATTGTTCTCAGGCTCCTTAATCTTTTCCTTTCTTGCTTTTGTGTTGAGCGTAATGGTCCTCTTGTGTATATGTGTGTTTGTGTGTACGCGTGGACGGCACTCTCAGGTGACTATCGTCTATCCGTCTCACCTCTTGCTCTTTAGCTTTGACAGCAACATCGGCCACGTTCCCTCGCTGGTCACTTCCACCTGCTGAGAGATAGATGAGGACTATTGTTGCTGCTATATAAAAGGAATGCAAGCAGTCAAGATGGCATAGATGGCGTCTTTGGTTTTTTGCATGTATCTATGAAACTTTAGTATCCTTCAACAGGCAAAATTGTTGTTGGACCCATTAAGGTCTTGCAGGCTGAAGTCTGTCTTTGAAATGATTGACTGTGAGATTTTTGAGAGAGTCTAAGGCTAATTTTACGTTGGCTTGTAGTCCAGTTCAACAGATCATCCAGGAAATGTTGCACACTTAGTATCGCTTCAAGCTGATGATGTGTTTGGTCTCTAAGTCCCTACCTCCTGCTAAAGTAGCATTACTGTCGGGTGTAGGATTAACTCACTAAAACCTTCGAAGCCCTCTGTGTCTCTCTATTGCATCTTCATGTGGAGTCCATCTCCAGGTCGACCATTCCGATGAACATGCAGAACTGATCAAACAAGGGCAAGGAGCTGTTTTTTTTACACTGTTCATGTAATCATTGTCCATCATCATGAAAAAAAAAATCTATTTTAGTGCATTTTTTCTAAATTTTTCCAAAATTATTGGTGCTTCCATTAGTTAGACTTAATTAAAAATAGTTTCTGCTGCTGAAATAATTTAACTCATGAACTGTTAAGTACCTTATAAAGGTATTCACACTCATTAAAATATTTTTTTCTCTTTTTTTCACGTTACAGCAGAAACGTTTTTCTGGTTTACTTGTGGTATTCCAACACAAAGTAATGTATTGTATTTTGTGGTTTACATTTTCTTTCTTTCTGAGGTATTTCCCATATATACACCAATACCCCCCTGTGCAACCAAGGCTTCCTTCAGATGCCATTTATTCAGAGCATCTAAGTAAATTATGAGTGCTTAGCTCAATATAGGTTTTTTGACCACAAGCCTAGAGTTTTCAAATAGATCTTTAGAGTATAAAAAGAAAAGAAATTCACTGGAAACCAAAGAAACGTAACAGACCCGTCTTAAATCATTGGAGAAGAAAAGAGCTTTATGGGAGAGCCAAAAAGCCTTGTAACCACATGGTGGACACAGTAAACTTATAGCGAAGGTTCTCTGGTTGGAGATAAACAATTAAAAATTTTAATCCACGTGGAAAACATCATGTACTGGAAATTTACCATTTCACCTAAGGCTAAATATCTAATCCCAAGTTCTGTGGTTGTTTTTTGTCTGTATAAAGTTGACAGTACTGCCGTGAATGGAATGAAGTTTTAACCAACTGAATTTGTCTCTTCTCAGAGCTGGAGGGGAATCATGTGTCTCCTGGAGGCCTGTGGAGCTTAGGACATCTCGACCTCCTGATGCCTATAACCAACAAAACCAAGATTCCAGAATCAGCAACCGTTTTATCTGGTTGATGCCTGCCATGCGGACATTTTCCCTGGCTGCCTCTAATCTTTTCACCAGAATCGAACTGAGCTGAGCTGATCAAAATTCACCTAAGTAGGGTGAACACGGAACACTGCTTCTTCTTCTCTGGTGGCCACAAACTTCTGCCTCTTTGCTGAGGCCCGATCGCCCCATGCTGACTCCTCCAACAAAGTGATTGTGATTGACTCTTTGGGCGATTTGCCTGTACCTCTGGTGAATGTGGCACCTGGTTGATCTATTCTCAGCTCTTGACAGCAAACGTAAAAAGACTTATCCTGGGGATGGCTCCTCTCTTTGGGACAGTGGACTTGGACCAAAGAGAAGCCAATGTCTGCAACGGACAGGACGCTGTAGCAAAACAGAGGAGGTGCCCTTTAAAAAAATATGGTGGATTGAAACCTGGATGGAGGGATGATGAGAGTAATGAAATTAAAAGTATAAAACTATATCAAGCCCTAGTTTGGGATGTGAGTGGAGAAAGAAAATATACTGTATACTGTTGTAAAATTACGCTGGACTCTCACAAGAACTGGGAAACTAAGTATTGTAAATGCTATTGTATTGTTCTGCATATTATGTTGTTTCTAATAGATTTTTTAAAAAAGGATGTGAACTTTTTGCTCTTTTTTTCTGGTTTCTTTCCTTATTCTATGTGTGTGTGTGTGTGTGTGTGTGTGTGTCGGAAAGAGTGTGTGTGTTCATGCACCATTACCAACAAATCTGCTCAGCAAACCCAACCACATAGCCTTTTTTGAAAAGAAGTGAGAGAATAAATCTAATGTCTGCTCTAAGTTTTGCAGCTATTAATGAATAATGTGGGCCGTCGTTGATCCAGGCGTTTTATTTGTGTTTATCCTTCATAAATCACAGCCTCCAGATGGACATGCATGCTGCAGAAACGTCCGTTTCTGTCAGTTTGGCTACAGTTTTATCTCAAGTCTTTGCGACTTTCCATATTTATTGAGCTAAAATTCTTTGATTAGCTGCTGGCATGACTTTTCTTTAACTTATTGTTTTTTCTGCAGAAAAAGATGATGAAGCTCATCAGATAGATGATAAACACTGAAAAGTTAGTTCCTTGACCCAGACGGACAAGTTTTTCCTGCTGTCCCTTTTACTCCTGTTTTGATTTTACCTTCAAAGAGAGATCCATGTAATGTAGTCATGATGATGCAGTCTTTAAAGATATTCTCAGAATTAATGGGGAAACTACAAGTATAAATCGAAAGACATGTTTTCTTCTTTTGTGTCTGTGATTAAGGGCGTCTAAAAGTCTCTTCCCATTTCTTATTAATGTGTTAAATATCACATGGTGGCGCTTCATGCCCAACGGATTCTCCCCTCTTCATCATTTGATGATAATGCTACGGATAACAGCATTTATATCACACTTCATTTATTTGGTTTTTTTTCTGTTTGTTTTTAAATTCAACTAATTGATCCAACTTTGATCTGCATACGGAAGAGAATGTTAAAACAATTGTATCTAAAATCTGTTTTGTTAAAAACCAACCTAGCCCTGAATTGAGAATTTGTATGCACAAGGCTTTAAGCTTTCAGGACTTCCTTGCACAAAGAGAAAAAAACTGGCTTTAAAATATGTTTTCACTTCATCCATAGTGCGCAGTGAGTTAGTGGCTCGTTGCTTTTTTTTTTCCTTTTTCCACTGGTGGCTTTGTACTGAAAGAAAAACTCGTATAGATAAGATTCAGGTTACCTATGTGAGCCTGAAAAAGTCCCAGCAGTGCTTACAAGTCCCCTATCTGCATTTTTTAACCCCTTTGGTTGAGTTTAAAAGTGACTACTTTCTAAAATTAAGGCTGCAAAAATGTGGAAAGAATAGAACGACCCACAACCAGGATTACTGAAAATGTAATATTTGGATTAAAATTGCAATTATTTCTTCTATCAGCTTATTTCTGAATTAAGAAATATATAAACATCATATTTATACAAAAAATTATCGATAATAATTTATCACAACGTCAGAATGGCTTCGTAGCGTTGTCTGTATGACCAAGTTTAAATCGTCCACTTGTTAGCACTAGCTAATTAGCAGCTAAAAGGCTAATTGTTGTACTGTAAGTCCACGACATAGTTCCCCTAGTGTGAACTAAAGATCTGAACAAAATCCTCTCAAACTACCATTAATATACAGCATCATTTAAACCATCTAACCACTTCTATTTTAATCTGGTCAAAGAGGTTTTGCTAAAGTTGGATCCGGGAATCACACAGTACAAATTAGCTGTCGTTGAAGAATGACGAGGCATCTTATAGCCTCTAACTCAACAAACGAACTATAATTTTTGACCACATATTTAATTACAACAACCCAACTTTCAGACCAACAGCATAAACCAAGGGTTAAATCAACTGCCCAGCAGTTTATTTTGCTTGTGTGCAGCATATGTGGGACAGTATTGATGTGCCTGGGAACATGGGTGAGGTGGAGTGTGTGTGTGTGTGTTATCAGTGCTTCCACTATCCATTGCTTCAGACGTGCACATCTTTAAAAAATTCCTTTAAAGACAAAGTCATGATTCGTATGCTTTTACGTGGAAGGGTATATATGTACATGTTTGTTGTAAATAAATACTTTTCTTCAAATAACACTATTTAACTAGTCTCAGATTATATTGTTATACAGATTCAGCGCCCTGCAGAACTAGCCTACTCATGCCTCGTAAACATTTCTAAATTTTGTGTCGCAGAAATGATTTAATTCCGTAGGTTTTACATGGATTTTATGTAAAAGATTGACACAAAGTTTTTTATAATTGTGAGGTTAAGGAAAAATCTTACATGGTTTTTACCTTTTTTTTTAACAAATCCAAAAGTTTTTTTTAACATTTGTATTAAGTCCTGATATATTTTGTATGTAAAACCAGATTTTCCAACAATTGTTGGTGCAAGTTTTCACATATGTTTCTGCAAACCTCTCACATTGAATTCAATTTTTCCCCCATTCTACACAAAGTCGCTGAAACTGAGTCAGAAAACTCAGCTTGATTTAAGATGCCCCAAATAAGTTTTGCTTCTGAATGTACTTGTAACAAGCTCTATTCATCCTTCCACCAAGACTGACAAGCTTCTCTGTCCCTGCGGGGCATCTGCATCCTCTCAGCATGATACTGCCACCTCCGTGTTTCACCATGGTTGCCCATAGAAGTATAGATATGTGGAGTGCTTAAATTAGAACTGCCTTTTCTCCAGACTCTCCAAACTACATCCTAAATCTCTGCAGCTCCTCCAAAGTAACCATGGGCTTTTTTTAAACTTTGTTTGAAGTGAACAGCTTCACTAAAAGTGAAATCAAACACAATTTTTTTACCATTACACTGACTTTCTGAAACAGCTGATTTCAGCAGATTCTATTTAGGTTAATTAACTTAAACAGATCTGAACACAAATGCATAAAGCACTATTCAGATTTCTGTTTCAGACATTTAAAAACAGATAAACTTTATCAGTTATTCCTTTTTTTTTAACAATAGAACAACCAATTAAACCCAAACATGCATTAAGTTTGTCATGGAGCCAACTGTGAAAACGTTAAAACGCTCTGAACATTTTTGCAAGACACTTTAAATGATAGACTATAACATATTATTAGGAGCTCATGCTTCTCTGAGGCAAAATCAGCGATAAACATGTTTACATTGAAGAAAGCAGAAAGGGGACATGGACTTGGAGTCTCCCACTGTTGCCGGAAAATGTGCAGCTAATGCATGCGTTCTGCTGTAATTTACTCGCACACAGAGAGAGAGAGAGAGTCGGAGAGAGAGAGAGAGGGGGCTGGGGTATGACAGAGGAAGCCAACATTTCTTCCTTTAGGATTAAAATTTATTTAGGAAAAAAAAATATCTCCAAATGCGTAAATGGGGGAGATTAGTTCTCCCTCAAGCCATATTGCTCGCAGCCCGAGCAGCGCTCCGGTAGCCGGAGTTGTCTCGGGGATTACACCGCGCTTCAGAGGAGGGAGGGAGGGGGACTGCGGAGCCGAGCGACTTTAGTCTGATTAAAACATTTCGGAGGGCAGACCTAAAAGTCAAAGTCAGTATCTTGTTTTGGTTTTTTTTGTCGAACAACGAAAACCTTGTTTTATCCTCAACAATACGCGCCAATAAATCAGTTCTATCTGTCTCTGTGTCCTCCCAGCAACTATTGTGTTTTTATCGCTTCTCTCTGGCTGAATGCTATTTGCACTACAGGAGAAGCAAGGAAGAAAAAAAAAAACGACACTTTTCAGTCTGAAAATAAAAAAAGCGGCGACGTTTTAATTGCTTCGCGTCTCTCCGGCGTGGCTTGCAGATCCGAGGCTGGGAAATGGGAATTCCTGAGCCCGTGGCCGCTGGGAGCGGTGGAGACTTGCAGTAGAAAGCCCATGCATGACTGCCCTCTTTAGGGGGGCCTTGTAACTGTCCGAGTCGAGGGGTGGAAAGCTTGGAGACGGCGCAAAAGCAGCGTCTCCTTTTACGCACGGACGCAGAGCGCACAGAAAGAATGCGATCAGTAGTTTTTATTAAGGGCTAAACAGATACGATGGCTCACAATATGGAAACTAATATAACATTAAAATGTTCCATAACTAAAGCATCAAATTCATCAATCAGTCCTAGATATAAATCTGGGCTTTTTGTTAGTATTAGTTTCTCGTAGAGCAGCTGAATCATTTTAATATCATTTGCGCTCTAATCATCAAAATATATTGTTTTTTATCCGGAAAAGGGTGCAAATAAAAAAATATATTTATTACAACACGTTAGTAGTTTGGCCAATATCTCAAAGAATCAAAGCTCGGTAAAAATCATACATCTAAATAAAAAATGTATTGATAGTGGGTTAAAAGCATGTGGAACTCGTTTTGTTTTTTAATAAAAAGCAAAAGGGAGAAATTTGTCGTATATGACCTAAATTCTAACTATCTCTTGCACTTTCAAATTTTTTGTTTCCAGTTTTTTTTTTTTGAGAGCTGAAATGTATAGAAATGTAGTTTGTCGCAGTGATTGCAGGCTTAGGCTGTCCCTTTTCAACACAAACTGACCGCGGAGTGAACCATCAGGTATAATGAATGGAGCAGAAACATGTTCCAGAGCAGTGGAGGTGTCCACACAGGCCTGTCTTCCTCCCACAAGGCACATATGTTTGCGCGTTTGTGGTTCAATGCGGGAAACCCGGACAGGGAGCTGTGCGTCTTAGATGAACGTCGGTGTTTAATGTGAAATCGGGTTAATTGAGGGCAAAAAAACCCAGCAAAC